CAGGACTAGGAGTCAAAGAGGATTCTGGGAATGTAGTAGAGAAGTGGTGATCCAGGCCGGAAGTGACATAGCAAGGAGACTCATATTTAAGCGAAGGAGAAACAGGAAGTGTTGCTCTCTTTTCCCCTCCGCTCCTCCTCCAGCGGCACAATGTGAGCCACCAGCAAGGAGGGACACCAATAAGGCATCCGATAAGATAAGTCTTATAAAATATATAGATTTATGATAATTAAGACTGAGCTAGCAGATGAGGAATCCTAGTCATTGGCCAAGCAGCTTTGAACCTAATACAAGTCTCTGTGTATTTATTTGGGTCTAACTCGGGCGGGCGGCTGGCGTAAAGCACACATGTGGCATGGGGCTCAGGCAGCTTTTGGCAGAAAGATTTATCGTAACACATCCTTTTATGAATGAAAACCCTTGGGGCTCAGGGGCTGCTATATTGGGGAGTTGTGGAGAGAGAAAATCCAGTTGGAAGTAGGCCTGTTTGAAAGCTGTGTTTTCACAGAGAGCACACTAAGTATATTTACTGTTCATAGATCCAAAGCTGATGGGAAGACTGGGAGCAGACTTTTCCCACCTCCAATGAAGCATAGACAGAGTGTCACCTTGTCCTCATTATGACAGGCTCCGCCTCCCCAAGCTAATTGTTCTGAGACACCTGTGTAGGGTATACCTTAGACACTCCCACTTGGGGCTGGAGACAAGTATGCCTGGCCAGACCCACTTGGGTTTGGTCAGGGTGATATGAGGAAGGTTTAAGAGTGAGGGACATGCATGTGGCTTCCCTTCTACTTACTTTGCTCCCTATCAACTGGCCAGGCAGTTCTGAGTGAATAGCATCTTCCTAAATAAATACCCTTATATCTAAACCTGACTCCGTTTTGGTATTTCACATTATTTGGTGTCAGAAGTGGGATTGGAAGGAGGTGTTCAGGCTTAGGCACCTCTTTCTCACCTGTTTCCATTCCTTGATAGGAACTTTGAAATAGTCTCCTGGGGGAGTACGGACATAACATTTTCTACACCTCCAAGAGAAATACCAGAGCTCACCTACTCCTAAGTACCTGTAAGAACACACATTGAATGTGTCATCTTGCTCCTGCACATCAGTAGCACTTGGTGTCATGTTTCTTTTGTGTTTATCCACTAAAGTTCTTTTCAAAGTAGTGTTGCTTGGTGCCAGGGACCCCTTGACAAGAGGCAAAGTTCACATGTCCCTACATTTACTATGATGCTGTATGTCCTGGCACTCACTCTGTAGACCAGACTGGCCTCAAATTCACAGAGATCCGCTTAACTCTGCCTCCTGAGTGCTGGGATTAAAGCTTTGCACCACCACCCCTGCTTTTGTTAACTTCTTTATTCAACTATCTTCCATTAATTTATTAACACTTATAATCTGTCCTCATCTTTCTACCATTTACTGATCCAGACACACTGCTGATTTGCTGTTCTTCAAACAGTCCAAGCATGCTCTCCAGAGGCCTTTGTACTGATGGGCATGTCATCTACCATGTCTATGTAGCTAGCTCCCTCCCTTACAGAAGGTCTCTGCTCAGAATCTGTCTTCTCGTGGAAGCCTTCCAAGGCCAACCTATTTAAACATTTTATCACTGACGTGTGTGTGTGTGTGTGTGTGTGTGTGTACCCGCACGCGCATGCGTGCATGTTATGCATGTATATACAAGTGGCCTTGTCCACTTGTGCACCCATGAAGGCCAGAGGTCAACACATCAAATGTTGTCCTCTATCACTCTCCGCTGTTGTGGAATATTAGTTTAAGATGTGTTACATTTGTTTATGCTGTGGAACATTTGTTTAATGATACAAAGATGTGTTGCATTTATTTATGTTGCAGTTATTTAACTCTGTGAAGCTGTGTTACTTTGCCTGCCTAAAACACCTGATCAGTCTAATAAAAAACTGAATGCCCAATAGCTAGACAGGAGAGGAATAGGCATGACTGCCAGGCAGAGAGAATAAAATAAATAGGAGGAGAAATCTAGGCTCAAGAGAAGAGCCAGGAGTGGGTAACAAAAGAGAGGAGGACATCAGGGGCCAGCCACACAGCCACACAACCAGCCACGGAGTAAGAAGGGAAGAAAGACATATATAATAAGGAAAGATAAAAAGCCCAGAGTCGAGACATAGAAGAGAAATGGGATAATTTAATTAGAAAAGCAGGCTAGAAACAAGTCAAGGCTAGGAATTCGTAAGTAAGAATAAGTCTCTGTGTATTTATTTGTGAGTTGGGTGGCATGCCCTCAAAGAGTTTTAAAAAAAACTATGCTCTCTGCCTTGTTTCTTGATACAAGGTCTCTCAATGAACTCATAACTTGCCATTGTGGCTAGACTGGCTGGTGAGCTCCTGGAATCCTCTATCTTTGTCGCCCTCCCCCTGGCACTGAGGTTACAGATGTATATGCTGCCACACCTGTTTTTTCCACAGGTTCTGAGTGCAGGCTCTCATGATTATACAGCTAGCACTTTATCCACTGAGCCATCTCCCCAGCTCCAGCTCTGACATTTTACAATCCCCTTTCTGGTATCATTTTTCCCCTCACACTTTTATCATTGTCTTGTGTATGTTTTCTTTCCTAATGTTTCATTACCCATATTCCCCATTACAGTTTGAACCCTATAAAGAAGGGTTTTCATTTATTCTATTTGTCTATCTATCTATCTATCTATCTATCTATCTATCTATCTATCTATTCAGTACATCTGTGTGCATGAGCATAAAGGCCAGAGGAAAAGTTCAGATGTTGCT